AGATATAACCCTATCCTTGACCACATAAGCTCCCATACCAGTTTTTGATCCATCAGTGTACACCACAGTCCCATCTGGGAGTGGGTCTTTAGCTGTCACTTGTGGAAACACTATAGCCTGGTTTAGGGCAAACTGTAAAATTGGATGCTTTGGAAAATGATTATCAATTTGTCCTGAAAAGGAAGTAACTAAAACTGCCCAATCACTAGATGTGGCTGCCAAGGTCTGAACTTGTGCAGCAGTATAAGGCACAATCAAGGAATCAGGATCCCTGCCAAAATGTGTAACAGCTGCTTTTATTCCGCGAAGCGCGAGCTGTGCAACAGCATCAGGGTACCAGTCAATAATCTTAGCAGGGGAAGCATTTGGATGAATCCAAAGTAATGGTCCATGTTGCCACAGGACTGCAGTTGGCAATTGAGCTGTCTTAAAAACACACAGATTAAAAGGTAGTGACTCCTCAATACGTTGTAATTGTGCTTCCTGTAAGGCCTCTTCCACCATCTGTAAGGCTCGGTGGGCGGCAGGGGTAAATTTTCTGGGTGAGGAGATATGAGGCTCACCCTCCAGGAGATCGAAGAGGGGTTTTAGATCAGCAGATGGAATTTTTAAAAAGGGCCTCAACCAATTTATATCTCCCAGAAGTTTCTGAAAATCATTTAATGTTTGTAAGTGGTCTTTGCGAATTTCTATTTTCTGAGGAACTATATTTTTGGGAGTAATCATTGAGCCCAAAAAGAGGCCTGTATCTGCAATTTGAACCTTTTCTGAGGCAATCTCTAATCCCCACTGTTTTAATTCAGCCACCAGCATGGGGAAAGCCTTTTGTAAAACATCTAACTCTTTGTGACAAATAAGAATATCGTCCATATAATGGATCATGATTAAAGATGTAAATTGCTTCCTAATTGGCTCCAAAGCCTCCTGCACATACAGCTGACATATTGTTGGGCTATTGGCCATGCCTTGCGGCAGTACCTTCCACTGAAATCTCTTGTCTGGTTCCATATGATTAAGAGAAGGGATAGTGAAGGCAAACCTTGGTCTATCCCGTGGGTAAAGTGGAATAGAGAAGAAACAATCCTTAATATCTATAATAATAAGCTTCCAATCTTGAGGAAGTGCAGAAAGCAAAGGAAGTCCTCTTTGAACAGGGCCAAAAAGATGCATCTGATTGTTAATGGCCCGCAGGTCGTGGAGTAATCTCCACTTCCCAGATTTCTTCTTAATAACAAAAATTGGTGTATTCCATGGGGAGGTAGAAGGCTCTAGATGCCCCAGCCGTTCCTGTTCTTGCACTAATCTTGTGACAGCCTCTAATTTTTCAGAGGATAGAGGCCATTGAGAGACCCATAACGGCTCCTCTGTTTTCCATGGTATGGGTCGTGAAGCCTCAACGGCCCCTAAATAAAACCCAGTCCTTTTCTACCCTGATTTCCATGTTGCGTAATGGGTTTTATTCTGCCTTGTTCTTGCCTACCCAAGCCTCTACCGTTTGTATACCCCATCTTTGCCATAATGGCTGATGCCTGGGGGAGTATTCATTAGTTAGTGTCATGCCCATGGCTTGTAACACATCCCGTCCCCATAAATTTACAGGGAGTGGCAACACATAGGGGGTAAAACATCCCTGTTTGCCCTCAGCGTTCCGCCACGTTAAGGCTGAGGTACTGATGGCAGGAGAGGACTGGTATCCAAGACCTTGTAGAGAATGAGATGAAACAACAGTGGGCCAAGACTTTGGCCACCAATGGAGTGAAATAATGCTTTTGTCTGCTCCCGTATCCATTATCCCTTCAAATTCTTTTCCATTAATTAACAATTTTATTGTAGGTCTCTCATTTAGGGGTATAGCCAGATAGGCTGAATCACTTCCAGAAGATCCCATAGCCCTTTTTTGTAAAGTGTAGGTTTCTCCATCCCCGAGGGAGGGCAGCAACACCAGTTGTGCAATTCTATCTCCCTGCTTTATAGAAAATACACCCCGAGGGCTAGAACAGAGAACTTGAATCTCCTCTTTATGATACGGGTCAACAATTCCAGGATATATAATGAGTCCCTGTAAAGTTAAGGAGCCACGGCCCAGAATAAGCCCAATGGTGGCAGGGGGCAAAGGTCCAGGGGAATGGACTGGGACCGGTTGAACATTCATTTGGGGCATGAGTAAGAAGTCGGAGGCGGCTCGCAAGTCCATTCCGGGGGTTCCTCGGAAACCTCTACTTCCTCTTGATTGCTTTTCTGAAATCGGTTCCCATATTTCTGAGGGCCCTGGGACCATGGGCCCCGTGACCCGTTTTTTGATTGGGGTACCTTGGGTTCTTCAATAGGGGGCAGAAGCCTCCCTTTCATATCCCGGACTGACCTGCATTCACTAGCCCTATGATAACCTTTACCACAACGATGGCAAAGCTCCAGTTCTCTTGTTCTTTCAGGGGCTTGACAATCTTTCTTAAGGTGCCCCATTCTCCCACAATTAAAACAAGCTTTTCGATTAGATAAATCTCTATACCTGTGCGTTTGTAAAATGGCGGCAGCTAGTCCTGCATTGGTTAGGGGTCCCCCCAGCTCCCTGCACACTCTGAGCCAATCTTGTAAACCTTTGCTTTTGCGAGGGGCGATAGCCGCTCGACATTCCTGGGTTGCTTGTTCATAGACAAGTTGCTCAATCAGGGGCATAGCTTGTTCTGAATCACCAAAGATGCGACTGGCGGCCTCTGTCATTCTGGCCACAAAGTCTGAAAATGGCTCTTGGGGTCCTTGGACAATCTTTGTAAGGTGTCCACTGGACTCTCCCCTTTTTGTGAGGGCCTTCCATGCTTTAATAGCGGCGGCTGACACCTGACCATAGACACCCCAGATGTAGTTGGTTTGATTAAGGGCATGTTGACCCTGACCTGTCAGCATTTCAAATGTCCACTGCCTCTGATTCTCATCTTCAGCCGTGGCATTAACTCTAGCTTGTGCCTGGGCTGCATCATACCAGAGAGCCTTCCATTCCATGTATTGTCCCATGTTGGGAAGCACTGCTTTCACTGTCGTCTGCCAGTCAGTGGGAGTCATGGCAAAATTAGCAAGCCTTTCCACCTGTAATGTGGTAAAGTTAGCATTGACCCCATAATTACGAACGGATTCGGCCAATTCTTTGATTTGATTGTAATCTACAGGGGTATGTACTCTTCCACCTTCCGCATTCTCGAATACTGGAAAAGCCATTTGTATTTTTCTCCGTTCCTCTAAAGGTAAAAGGAGTCAGTACCAGTATTCAGCCGAAGCTCATACTGCGGAGGCGCTGAGGGGCGTGAGCCCGCCGGATTTATAGGTGGTGGCCTCACATTCATTTTTGTTTTCAGTGGCCGGTGTCTATCAGGGTGATATCTTTCTTCCTCATACCGTGCCACCTCCTCCTCTAGACCACCTTCTTCGCTAGAATACAGAGTGTCAGAATCAGAATTATCTAGCTCCAAGGCTTCTAGCTCTACTGTAGGGTATAGACTAGATTCTGGCTTTTTCTTTTTGTTAGGGGGTGAATGATCACTCCCTTCTCTCTCTCCCCCTTTCTTAACTTCTTGGGGAGGGCCTTTTTTCTTAGACATGTCTTTCCTTTTGCGAGCTCCCATTCTCTCACTCCGTTCAGTTTCTGACATGCTATCCTGAACTTCCTCTAAGGTTCCCTGACTTTCTATTATAGCAGGGTGACAGGCCTCATCCTCCAAGCAGTTTTTAACTAGCTTCCAAATGGCTTTGGTACCTAAGTGGAGATCTCCTTCTGCATGCTTCCTGTCTAATTCTTTACCTAGCTTGTTCCATGAGGCCACAGTGAGGGACCCGGAACAAGCATACCATGGTGCCACTCTATCTACCTCCTTCACAAAATTTTGAAGTGTTCGTGGTGCAATTTTAAGATCTCTTTGTTTTAGCACAGTCTGTAGGGCAGTAACCACTGACTGTGACAACCCCATCGCGCTGGCGGCTTATCTAAAAACGGCGCTCAACTCTGTTACCAGACTGACAGCACCAGACTGACAGCACCAGACTGACAGCACCGTTCTGTCAGCACTAGCCACGATGAAGGAGAAGGACAAACAGGACTAGCACCAAAGCCTCCACTGACCCGTCCCACGGTGATGACAAACTAAGGCCAAAGTCGAGAAAGGGGTATTCAGGATAAAGCATACCTCTCTGAACTTACGTCCCTGCAGTTCTGAATCCGCCCCGTCTTCCGAGGGGTCTCCCGCGGCGCCGGCGATGTTGAAGAGTTCCCGGGTTTCGGCACCAGATGTCCCGCGCTACCGTCTCGCCAGCAAGAACGACGCAGAACACTCGGATCCTTCTGCAGTAAAGCTTTAATGCATCTTGAGAGATAGATGATCAGCTTCTTAGAGGGAGACCCCAAGCTAAGAAACCCAGCCCCTTATATAAGCCTAGGAGCTCCGAGTGAGACGTGTAGAGCCGGGATTGGTGGTTTGCACATCACCCCAGATGACGCCACGGGAGAGGCACAGCTTAAACGGTTAACTCCAACTGACAGCAGATGTCAGCGCCATCTTCTAACGGTTAACTCCAACTGAAAGCAGATGTCAGCGCCATCTTCTAACGGCAATAGCGATAGCGAGGGCGGCTCCTCACAGTCTCCCTCTTGGAGTACAGGGTAATTCTCAAAGAAGAAAGAAATATTGTAGGCATCTTAATAGACACAAGCCCTCAATAATCCTTCCAAATGGATGGAGCCACAGCATCAGTAACCCTGCCCAATAGACTTTCACCAAATGGTCCATGGGAACCAAATCATACCCATGGACCACAGTTAAGAAAGGTTAATAAATGGAGAGACACTGTCTTTGAGTACTCAGGACATAACCAGTGTGATAACATGTGTGATGTTGAAGGAGCATATGCCTGGAATGCAAACACTAAGATGCTCTCACAGTAATGTTTGAGGGTCATTGTGCAGTCTTTAGGAGGTCACCAACTTCCCAGAACACACATATAACCTTGGTTACCTGAACCCCCTTCCCAGGTTCTTCATAGTACTTTTTCTTCAGCTCCTGTGTCTTCTGGATAAAAAGATTGTATCCGCCTGGTTTGTAATATACCCCCTGCTTCACATCTTCTTCTAGAGGACTGAAAATATCCCTAAGCAGAGCTGAGCAGCAATCTGAGGATGACTGTAGATTCTTCTTAAGGAATTCCTCTTGTTTTGTTTCTAACACAGTCTTTGATATAAAAATGTTAAGAAAACATTAAGAAGGGAAGGAAGACTGCATTTAGAATTTCTGATGCAATTCTCAAAACAAAAAGAAACACAAAAACTAAACAAAAGGAAAGTTAGAAACAATGACTGTGACTGCATCTTTCTTCAAATGTCAGCCTTTCACTGACCTCATCCTTGCTCCTTGGCAGTGGAGTTCAGAGCAGATATTTACACCTTTAGAAGTAAATGGATTTCAGACTGGACTAGAGACACCACATGAAATAAACATGAATCAATGTTAGTTTATGCCTTAATATCTTTGCTTTGGATGGAAGTTGAATCAGTCAACTCAACTGACATTGGGCATAATCAGACACAAAAATTACTTCTCTGTACTTAATTTAATCAGGGGGAATATTACTAACTTATTTGGAAGGAGAAACACTCTAAAATTTTGAGTCTAGGATAATCCATTTTTGTTCCAGTTAAGTGTGATTTTTCAGAAGTCGCTATTGCTACTCTAAAATTTAATAAAATAAGCCTGCTTTTATCACTTATTTTATTTCCTCACAGTAAATTGCCTTCCAAAATCTATGTCCTAGAAGTTTGACAGAAAACCTACCTCTAACTGTTTTATGAACACTTGGTTAACATCTTTGAAGGAATTTTCCTTGAAGATCTTGATGGCTTCTTTCTCACTGGTCCTGTGCAGGTTCATCAGCTCCTGGAGGGTCTCTGTGGGCAGCTGCAACTTCTTGCTCATCTTCTGGTCATAGTGGGCAATGGCCTTTTGCAGGGCAGCTTCATTCTCAGTGTGGGACAAAGCCAGGATGGCATTCTCTATGCAGGGCAGACTCCCACTGCTGATGGTGTTCACATAGGTTACCACCAAACTCTTTAGTCCTATAATCAACAAACAGATGGAAACATTTGCTACAGATGGATGATGACAACATTATTCTGTCTAATTCTGGATATGTCAGTCACTGATGACTTAAAGCATCCATGTACTTAGCATCATTTGGAAAGATGACAGACAGAGGCATTTAGACTCTACCTCATATTTTAGGATTAGACCTTCCTCTATGAAATGATATTCTAATAACATATGTGAGAACCCAAAGGCTAACAACAATGCTGGATGGAGATTACATGAGTTTGTTTCTATGGAATATTTGAATCTATATAAATGGAAGCACCATAAGCAAGGCTCAATAAATCTGTCATGTTTGTCTGTATAACCAGCCATGTCCATAGTAAGCATTTCATTTTAATTTAGTAATGAAACATGCACAGAATTTCTCTATTAAGTTGATTTGAATAAGTTTCTTTATCCAAGAGTACTTTACATATGTGCTGATGTGACAATGACTTCTAAATTTTAAGATACATTCCTGTTTAATTTCTATCTGGTGAATGCAGTTTTCTTGAGTAATTAAAAAGGTTTTTTTCCTTCTACCCCTTTCTCTTTTCCCAACAGGAAAATCTGATAGACAGAATCTATTATAAATGCTGGTACCATCTAGAGATTAGCACTACAGGGGTTACAGTCTCATTTATGTTTCTTTAAAAGTGAATTTGGCCATTGCTATCTCATAATACTATTTCTGAAACAGTGAAGACCACTGGGAAGGGACTCACGTGGTCCATTGACCTTGATGCCTCCTGAAAGAGTTTTAACCTTGGAACTGCTGAACACATAGGAACAAAATTCTGCCACTTGTCCCACGAAATCAGAGTCCAGGTCTTGATCCAGCAGTGATTCCAGCTCTCCAAGCTTCTTCCCCTGAATAGGCCACTGAAAGACAAAGCACTTCTTCTTTGGAAACTTATTAATACAAATATGAGGCAGGTACATTTCTTTTTTTTATGTCTTTGTCCAGTACCTGTAGAGACAAAAACAGAGTTTTCAGCCATGTTACAATAGTTGAGTAAATATTTTTAACTTGGGTCACACCATCTTTTGTAATCCTAACACACTAGAAGCTGAGGTAGGAGTTTTATAACTTGAGGCCATCCTGTATCAGACAGTGAGACCCTAAAACCACAAAATAAAAGAACAGAAAATAGGGGAAACAAATGCTGTCAAAATGTTCAGACTAAGAAACACCTGACTGCTTTGTTAGGCTTCTTAGGAAAAGAAAGAATACTTCATTCTAAGTATTCATTCCACTTAGCGTAGCTGGACTGTGTGCAGAGATAATATTTAAATTCAAGTGTACAGCATCACTTGATTTCCAAAGACAACTGGAAACAGCATTGTTCACATGTTACAACAGTTGTGCTAGGGTACTGGTAACAATTAATCTACCATTTTCAATTATATCTTCATAGGTACTATATTCTCTGTTTCAATACAAAAACAAGTCTTAAGAGGAGAGATTAAATAAATCACTATTAATGCAAAGGTTAAAGAAAATAAGTTTTCTCTTAGTACAAAGGAGAAAATGTTTGATTCAATCTATCAAATCAAGTGCTAATTATTAGGAGTAGTTGGCTAGAAGAAATAGAAACTGCAGGTACATGAAAATTATACATAGAAATATCTGAATTCTCATGAGTTTAATTAATGTCCTCATATAGCCAGCATAGGTCTCTTACCCTTTATAAGTGTCAGGGAATTCTCTAGGTATTCATCTGCAGAGATGGGTTTCCCATTTACTTTCAGCTCAAGAGAGAAGTCCCTCAGAACCCACACGAAGTCTGGGAAGAATCTCACAAACTCCTCTGAGTCCTCCAACTCATCCTGGTCAGGTGAGGATCTTGATCTGATTCTGTCTGTCAGTTCTGTCACATAGCTGAGTACCTAATTAAGGAAAGCCCTGAAATCAACCATACACCAACAAAAGCTTCAGGGTCCCCATTCTACATAATTCCACATCTACCTAGAACATAGGTGTTAACCTTCATTTGTCATGTTCCTGAAATCAGTGTAAACACTATAGATACAAACATGTGTGGGGTTTTTGGTGTTGTTGTTCTTGATGTTATTTCATTAAGCAAGAGCCAAAGTCATAGAGCTGTTTCATGAGGGTATGTCACCCCACTCGCTCTGGTACTGTTCTGAACCTCAAAAGGGATACTGCAGCTGGTCTATATCCTGCTGGTTGATGACTCCCATGCTGTTATACACAAAGGTGCTGCTTAGAAGTATAGCCAGTGCAAAGATCCAGCAGTCATTCTTCTTGCCACCCTGGAAGTCAGAAAACACATGGGTCAGGAGTTTGTCTTGTTCTTATGCCAGTTTCAGATCAATAGTGCTAAAATACACTCAACTTGAAGGGATTTTAGTCTGAAAATTAAACAAAACATGTGTGTAGTCTCTGAAAAGTAGAAAAAAACTAGCAGAATACCAGTAAACAATCAGATGTCATCCACAACTCTTGTTGGGTGAATATTCCTGTGATTTGCAGTTTTATTTGTGATAATACACACTGGTGCTGCTTAGGCCCTTGTTAGTGTTTCAGTACTGAAGACTACCACTTTGATGTTCTACAATCCAGTCCTGTGACAAGTTCCCTCATTATTGTAGGCAAAACATGACACATTTTATATAATAAATATGAAAAGAATGCTATGATAAAATTAAAACTCTTGGTGGGTAAAAAAGACCTGCGACCAAGCCTTGGAGCCTAAGTTCAATCCCTAGAAGCCCCATGGTATAAAGGAGAACTGACCCCACATGCTTTTCTTTAACATTCACATCTGCATTGTGACACAACTATCAGGGAACATGTAACACACACATGGGCACACGCTCACACACATTAAATGAATAAATAAACAAATAAAGTTTTCAAAGCAGCACGGAGAACAGGGTAGAATATTCAGAGATGAGGGGAGGAATTGCAAACTGTGTACCCAGTTCTTACTTTTTGTACATCTCCCAGTCCCTCAGTGTCAAGCAGAACTAGAGTATGGTCTGGCTTCTGGGGATGAGGCACACACCACATCCAGATCCCCTTGGTGTGAGCCTGCACTGTGGACCCCAGAGAAAAGCCTGAAAAGCAGAGAAGAGAGGAGTGGTTAGATATATAGTGAAAATAGCTTCCTGAAATTGATAATAAAATTAACACAATCCAACTGGAAACATGTCTCAGACGTTAACTGTGTCTGCTACTCTTGCAAAGGACCAGAGTTCAAATCTCAGAGCCTACATAGCAGCTCACACCTGACTATAACTCTTGTTTCAGAGAAACTTATGGCCCTTTCTAACATCTCTAAATGTCAGGCATGTATGTGGTATCAAGGCAAAATATTCATGCATGAGAAATTAAAATAAATCTCTATTAAAAAATCACCACACTCAAGTCAGCGGAATTATCTGAAACCAGAACTAGTACTGATATCACAATCAGAAACATAACAGACAATCCGTATTCACATATGCAGTATACAAGTCATAAGACCTCCAAATTTCCATCAGGGTTTTCATATAAAATGTCTAGCAGGATCGGTCTCTCATGTGCATTTCTTTAGCGTGCTGTGTGTGACTGTGAGAGTAAAGCTGAAGCAACAGTGGAGACCCCAGAATTTATAGATATCAAGACTGTGGAATGTTCACTGAGGAAAGCTGGAGTAAATGTGTGGAACTAATCCAAGACAGAGCCCTGTGTCATGTAAGCAGCAGGGCCCAATTGACAGGGTCCACAAGCTGATGTGTAGAAAACACCACCACATCTCCTATATGCTGCACATCAAATGGCCCTGTTTGGTGTTACTCTTATGGGTTGAGTCTTGCTAGGATGTGTTCTGTCCTTCCTATCCCCCTGAACTCTGTAAATGGGAATGTTTATTCAGTGCCATTGTATACTTTAGGTTGCCTTGAGTCTCAGAGGAGATGATTCAGTTTTATACACCATTAGAACGCTAAGACTGTGGGGACTTCTGAAGATGTGGCCACAGCATTTAGGGGCCAGGAGAAGAATGCTTTGATTTGAAGGTTAATGTTCATCACAAGTCCATGTAATTGGACACTTTGCCCCAGTTAGTGGTTTTGTGTTGGGAGGTGTGGAAGCATTAGGTGGTAGGACGTGAATGGCTTAGGAAAGGCGTTTGAAGGTTGTTCCTCTTCATGCTCGTGGCCCAAAGCTCTATCCTTCCTGATCAGTCATGATACGAAAAATACACAAGCTCCTTCCACTACCTATAGAGACACATAATCCTGTCTCCCCTGCTGTAGTGGACTGATATCTCCTGAATTGTGAGCAAAGAAAATCCTTCTTCATTACATTGTTTCATCAGGAATTTCATCAGTGATGAGATGAATACAAACTAGAAAACCTGAAAGCCTGGACTCAGATGGGTGTCGCTATAACTCTGTTAATGTTAGCATTTCAGAGTACTCAGCTGTCTTGTCTACAGGTGAATGAATAAGGCAATTATTGAAACACTTTTCTCACAGTGACAAATCTTGAAGGTATCATGATAAATGAAAGAACCAGTCACAAACCATGTTTTTTATGAGTCTACTTAAGCTATGTAAATTAAAATAGTAAAATAGTCAATATGCATGATATACAAAGCTTTTTTTAAACTTGAAGATCAATAGAAACTAGCTGTTAGTACCTGATAGTTTTAGGAATACCTAAACATATGAATTAAATTATCTTTACTACTGCCTGTCTCCATCTAGGAAAGGAACCAGTTGTGGTTTTAGAAGGGAAACTAGGAGTTAGAGGTGTGATGCAATGATATAGTCAACTTTCAAGAGGCCAAGGCAAGAAGGTCATGGCTTTAGGTTCAGTCTGGACTACATGCTGAGGTAAAGCCTGGTTGTGCTATGCAGCATTCCTTGTCTCAAAATAAAAGAAAATAGCCAAAGAAATAACAACAAAAAGGGCCCCAGCATGAAACTGAAATTGTTCACACTCTCATGCAGTAAGCAGACAGTGTGACTATATTTCTGGGACACAGCAAACCTGTGTTAGTGGCACTCACCTGTTTTCCTCCCAGCTAGCTTGTTCATCAAGTAGGATTTCCCTGTGCAATAGAGACCAACAATGGCTACCACCACCAGAGGCTGTGTGATGTCAGACAGGATCTCCAGAGCCTCCTGTTTGGCAATCAATTGACCATTCACATTCTCGATGAGGCACATGGGTACTGGCATGTGGACCTCTGCAGCCATTGTATAGGCTTTTCCACTGTTTCTAGAGGGACAGTGAGATTAGATAGAATTTTACTTATTCTTTCACTCAAAAGGTAGAGTTATGAAACTTGCAAAAAAAACCCAAAGAACTTTTGTGCATCAGACACATAGTTAAATGTAATGTGTACAATTTAGAAACTATAAGATATTATTGAAGAATTTCATTTATAATGTGACAGTGACAGCATTCTCCTATTCCCAATGCAAATATTCTATCAGTTTTCATCTGGTAGAAAAAATGAGAAACGCAAAGATGAGGAAGAGAAACACTGGGAGTCATAGGCTAGGATCTGACAAGGCAGAACAAAGCCATCAAAGAGAAATGTGATGAGTGAGAATGGATTGTGGACTTGAGTTCTGGGCTCCAGAAGACAGGAAACATTGCCTGAGGGTCTGGCGTTGAGGACAAGGTAATCAGAATTTCTCCTCTGTCTGGTGTGCCCAGGAATATTATAAGAAAGCACTTCATTACAGTATAGGGTCTGATCCTTCAGTGGAGAGTTAAGGAGTCCACAGATATAATGAATAAGCCAATCTTATGAGTTAATGAGCCAATAAAGAAGGAAATTCACTTGGCAGCCAATATCAGATGTGTGATGGTGACTACCTATCTATCACCTTTCACTCTGGGTTTCAGCTGAGAACTGCAGTTCCAGAAAACAGGCATAACTGTGTCAATGAACCCACAAGACTGACTGAGTAATTAGAATTTGTGTGAATGTGGAAGTATGAAATGTAATGCCTAAAGCCAGAATTTCCTGGCTTATCATTAGCTGCCCCCATGGCCATTTCTTGTATGAGAAGGCCAGGAACAAACTCCCCAAGATAGCTATAATCTGCCTGGCCTATGTTACCACCAATGTCTTTTAAAAGTACCTTGATCTATGATCTTTATTATGTTGCTACATAAACTTCCAGAAACGTGCCAAACTGAAACATGCTGTGTGTGGTAAGCTGAGCCTGTGTTCTGGGGCCAATGGTCACTCATAGTCAGCTACAGAATAGACCACATCTCTTACACACTTTGTGTTCCTAGAGCAACACAGCTTTCGCTCTCTTTGTCCTTCACCAGGGCAGTTGCTCTTCCCACCCTTCATTCTGTTTCCTTCTTAAAAATCAGACACAGGCAGCTCTTTTAGTAGAAGTTCTGCTCTGTCATTGACCTCAGTCATTTCACAGTGTCCTTGTCAGCACAGCCAGGTGAAAACCAAGGAAGACAATCTCAGTGCATTTCCTGCCCTGTTTAAGTCACGTGTCTCCTTGTCCCTAACTCAAATTTAGTATAGTGGTGGCCTTTACAGACTGGCTGCCTGGATGATACCACCCAAGGTTCTTTAGCTGCTGTGCCCCAGTCCTGTCCAGGAGCAGCCTTTTCTAGTCACAATAGTTATAAAAAATGAATTATCTCTCAAAATTCCATCTCATTCGTGCCCAGCCATATGGCCATAGTTTTCCAACAGAATTCCCAAGACCTAGCAAGTGCCAGTGTCTCTTCTTACCTGCTCTTGCTGTTCAGCACAGGTGCATGGGCTTTGCCTTTTCTCTTTTATTTCCTCCTGCAATCGGGTGAGGCGTTCTGTATTTTCACAAGTGAGCAAACGATGAAGAGCACTGTAACCTTTGTAGTAGGGAGAATTACAGAGAAACTGAAACCATCTGGTCATGACAGTGAATCAACAATGGTGTAAAAGTTCTGGGATCTGTGTTGTGGGCGGGTGTCAGGAGTTCCCAACCAGAATCTTCAATATTTTTTCAAAGAAATCTTGAGCCCATTTGTTATTCAAAATCATGCCACAAGAAGGATCCCAAGCTTGACACTGCCGGCATGGCCAAAAACCACTGAAGAGATTGGATAACTCAGTGATCTTGTATAACACCAAACACAACTGAAAAAAAGCAAGGCAACAAACAAAGCACCGAAAATCATTTCCTTGTCATTTGGAATAATTTTCAGTTTGTGGGCTGCTTGGAACAGCACAAATGAGGAGGAGGGAATAGAATAGAATACCGAGATTAGCAACCCACTAAAATCATAAACAAACCATGAACTAATGTATATTTCTTGAAAAAATAGTAAAAGGTATCATAAAGAATAGTCCTAGAGCCTTCATCCAGTGACTGATGGAAGTAGAAGCAGACACCCACAGCTAAACACTGAACCAAACTCCAGTTGCAAGGAGGAACAAGTGATGAGAAAAGAGGTCAAGAACAGGCTGGTGAAATCCACAGAGACAACTGACTTGAATAAGGGGGAGCACTTCGGCCCAGATTGATGGATGAGAGTCCTGCATGGGACTGATCCAGATGCCCTACATTTGGGTGTCAGCAAGCAGGCCTCTGCAATCTATTGGGCCTTTATCAGCATTTATCGCTGGCATATAAATGGACGTTGGGAGCCCATCCCACTTTGAGGGATGCCCTTTCAACCTGGACACATTGAGGAGGGCCTCAAACCTGCCCTGGATGAAATGACAGACTCTGAAGATTCAGCAAGGAGGGTCTCACCCTCCTTAGTTAGCAGTCTAGGGATTGTGTGGGGGCTGGATGGGTTAGTGGGGGGGCAGGGGAAGATGGAAGGGAAAGGTAGGTGGGATTGACATATGAAGAAAGCTTGTTTCTAACTTAAATAAAAAAGATTAAAAAAGAATATTAATTGACCACTCAAGTTCAACAAAATACAGGTGTAACAGCTTTTGATCTTTAGAAGACACCAAGAGCACCAGCTTTAAAATAGTTAATGGACCAACCACTCTGGGTAGAAGAACGACCTTGGACATCAAAAACAATTACAGGCCTTTGAACAGGAATTTTATGATATTTGTTATTAAAAAGAAATATGGAAAATGGAAAATGGTAACATATCTAAGAGCCATTAATGAGGTCATTCAGCCAATGTCATCTTTACAGCCTGGAATTGCTCTGCCTTCTCTGTAACCTAAAAGATAGCTTATTAAAGTTATTGTTGAAGGCTTTTGCAGCATCTAGTGAGATTATCATGTGTTTCATTTTTCCAATTTGTTTATATGGTGGATTATATTGACAGACTCTCATATATTGAACCATTCCTGCATCTCTAGGATGAAGCCCACTTGAACATCAGTAGCCTAGACACACTGAGATCAACAATTGCCAAATGGAACCTCCTGAAGCTGAGAAGCTTTTGTAAGGCAAAGGCCACAGTCAACAAGACAGCACAACCCATAGGGAATGCAAAAAGCTCTCACCAGCCCCACACCTGACAGAGGACTGATCTCTAAAGCATACAAAGAACTCATGAAACTAGATGTGAAAATACCAAATAATTCAATTTAAAAATGGGATGAAAATCTAAATAGAGAATTCTCAACAGATGATTCTCAAATGGCCAAAAGGCACTTAAGCAAATGATCAATATCCATAGTCATCAGGGAAATAAAAATCAAAACTACTCTGAGATTCCATATTATACCTGTCAGATCAAAAATTCTGATGACAGCTTATGCTAGAGAGGATATGGAGTAATGGGAACGCTCCTCCGTTGCTGGTGGGAGGGAAAATGTCTACAGCCACTGTGGAAATCAGTGCGGTGGCTTCTCAGAAAATTGGGAGTCAGTCTACCTAAAGACCCAGTAATACCACTCTTGGACATATACCCAAAGGATACATAGTCATACAAGTGAGACATTTGTTCAACTATGTTCATAACAGCATTATTTGTAAAGGTCAGAACCTGGAAACAACCTAGATGCTCCCCAACTGAAAATGGATAGAGAAAATATGATACATATACACAAAGGAATACTACACATTGATGAAATACAAAGTCATCTTGAAATCATAGGACAATGGATGGAACTAGAAGAAACCATCCTGAGTGAGGTAATCCAGACACAAAAAGACAAACATAGTTGTAGGAGTGAACCCCACAAAGTTATCCACCCATGAGGGCGGAGACATGTAAACTGACACAGGTAGATATAAAAGGAAGTGAAAGAAGGAAGCTCACATTTTTCTCCTGGAAGCCAGCCATGCTTCTAACTCCTGGTCTCTGTGACACACTCTCTCTCTCTCTCTCTCTCTCTCTCTCTCTCTCTCTCTCTCTCTCTCTCTCTCTCTCTCTCTCTCTCTCTCTCTCTCTGGTAAATAAATATATTGTTTTCCATATATAGCATCGAATATCGTTATACATAGTAAGTACTCACACATAAGTGGATACTAGATAGAAAACAAAGGGTAACCAACCTACAATCCATAACCACAGAAAAGCCAGGGAAACAAGGATGCTAAGACAGATAGACATAGACACCACCACCCAAGAAATGGAAATAGTCAAGATCCACTAAGTGAATTTTGAGCATGATGGGAGTGGGGAGGTGGTAGGAGAAATCAGAGGGGAGGGGAAGGGAGGAATAGAACATAGGGAATTGGGAGGATGAATTAGGGGAGTCAGAGAGGAAGAGCAAGGAAAGAGATATCTTGGTAGAGGTAACCATTATGGGACTAACAAGAAACCTGGCACTAGGGAAATTCCTGGGAGTCCACAAGGATGACCCCAATTAAAAATGTAACCAACAGTGAGAGGGTACATTAAATTTCCTTCCCTATTATCAGACTGATGACTACCTTAATTGCCACCATAAAGCCATCATCCAGTAACTGATAGAGGCATTTTCAGGGATCCACAGCTAATCACTGACCTGCGCTCCTGGAATACAAATGGAGACAGGGAGGAAAATGAGCAAATGGGTCAAGATCTAGTTGAGAAACCCCACAGAGATGGCTCACCTGAACAATTAGGATCTCACTGGCTCCAGACTGATATCTAGGGGACCTATATACCTGAATGAGGGCACCTGAATGTGGGTGACAGATTGAAGGCTTGGGCAGTTGTGGGGCCACTGGCAGTGGACCCTGCATTTATCCCTAAGTTATTGAACTGTCTTTTTGGAATCCATTCCCCACGGAGGGACACCTTAGAGGATGGGCTGGGGCTGGGTACT